ATGGTACCACTTTATTTATTCCCGCGAGACTCCGTAGATTATGTCGTCTTGTGCATGTTAATACCGTCATACTATGTTGGTGTGTGTAGTTTTAGAGCTCGGTTGTTCATTATTTGTCCTGGAATAACTGTTTGTTTTAGGTACCGATTGGTTCTGGAGGTTTCTGATGCAACTAACTACAAGGCAAGGTTTTTGTTGTTTGATGCAATGGGTAGTACCCTCCTTCGTAGAACTGCACAGGAGCTCTATAATGCAGTTTCTGAGGTAATGGATTCGCTTTTGCTATTGTTTGTTATGTTGTTTATTCTATTTTTAACGATTATTTGTTCGTATATTTAATCTATTTGCATGGTTTAATGATAGAATGACCCCTCTATACTTCCCTCGGAGATTGGGGCATTGGTCGGGAGGCGGTTTCTTTTTAAAGTGAGTATAGGTGGCGATAATCTGAAATCGGATCGGTCGCATTACGTGGTACAGTTATTTTCTGATGATGATGAGCTGATTAAAGACTATTCTGATAGTCTAGACTCCGAGGTTCGTGTTTTGTAGCTTGGGTTGTTCTGTTTATATGAAACTGTATGTATGTGTTAAGTTTACTAAATATTCGGTGTTTTGCTTTATATATACTTAATATTGGTGTTTCTAAGGTTTTGGTGCCTTTGCCCGTAACGCCTATTACAAAGGAGGCCAGTGTTCGTCGTGGCGGTGTATCCGTCGAGAATCCGAAACCTCCTGCGAAGAAAATCAAAATCGAGGGCAAGAAAGAAGAGAGTTTTGCCACAACTTAAAGAAGGATTTGGTTTTTTTATATATCTAGATTTAGCGGTTTTATTTATATTTAAATATCATAGCAGACTTTACAATACATTGTGCGCCTTTATGTTCGATTTTTGTTGTGACTGAGTCTGGATGTTATTTGGTGTTTTCGTTATTTGTTTTTTTTTGTTTTTTTATACCTTCCCGAGTGTCATATTTAGATATTGTTCGTTTTTTTGTTTTCTATGATCGGTCTGATGTTGTTTGGCAAACGACAAACGCGACGTTTCTGCTTATACACGTGCAAGTGTTTTCGCTAGGGCTGAATAAATTCTATACGCAACTAATACATGCATGTAGGTAACATGTGTTTAGCAAGACGTGGATATTATTATATATGTATTATTATAAAATATTGGATTTCGTTTTATGTCGTATATAACAGTTTCACGTTATTTGTGATATATTTGGTATCTGATTTAGCATGCTGATTTATAATTAGTTAGGGTTATGTGAGCATTCACGAGCTCTATATATTTGCACGTTTCATATTATGCTTATATGGTCTACTAACGTAGGTTGATATCCCGGCCGTTTCTCTGAGCAACGCATAAATTGGTAGTTCTGTTGTATTGAGATATGTAACATTAACAATTCTAAAATATTAAATATTCGACGGAATTAGAATGTTTCTTTTTAAGTTTACTGTTTGTGTAACAATATGTTAGAGTTAACATTTTAGGTATTGATAGATTTGATCATATCTCCTATTAATATAGTGGTATGTTTGTTATTATCCATAATAGAAAATATTATTTTCCTTGGTTTTAAGTCGCTCAATATTTTACGTAAAAATAAAGGTCTTATTGGGTACCCTAATACCTAGCTTATATATACGTCTATAAATAATACATGCATTCTTGTGTTAATCATTGCGAACGCTCGTGTTGAAAAGATGGAGGTAGTCGTTAGTATTTTTACTTGATGTTGGTCTGATATAGTTTATTGGTTTTGCGTTAAATTGGCTTTCTCTTTCCGAAAATAACAATCATGTTGATTGATTATTAATATGTGAATGTTTTGATCGGACAGGTTAACAAGCAAAACACTAACTCAACCCATATTAGCCAGACGGATGAATGTATCGTAGCTATCCAACAAGCGGCTTCGTGGGTGTTGTCGGTCGATAGATTGCGTGGTTTATTTGTTATGCTGATGGATGTTTTCTGCGAGGCAGATCCGTTGTCGGTCTGGGATGCTACCTGGGATGTATTGTTTAAAGATGTGTTGTTTCCACAACAAATTATTTTTAACGATCATGGTAAATGTACACCGTTAGTTTTTGCCAATATTTACAAATATCGTCAGATGGATAATGTTTTATTATTTTGTTCTAGAGCCGGAGTATGCCTACAATGAAATCCAAAACTTTGAGACATTTATGCGTAAGGAAAACTCTACGTTCAATGTCTATGCGGAATTACGGAAGAGAGTCGCTTTAGCTGGTGGTCCTACATGTGATCCTTCGTTGGAATATAAGATGCGTGATCAGTTTAACAATCTTAAGATAGATTAGATTGTTTTCATCGTTTTGATTTATTTCTGTTTATTTTAGGGTTTTATAAACTATGTTTCTGCTTGGTTCTCTCTATACTATTATATTTGTTTCGGCAAAATAATAGAATATTTTTTTATAGACGGTGTTTTGAACTATTAACGCTGCAATGAAGATTTTATTTTATTATTCCTGTATTGCGTTCTCTTAACATTTTTTTTTTTATTGACGGTGTGTCTTTATAATTACGCAATGAGTTTTAAGCACCATAAAACGCGATAGTTAAAACACATGGTTTCTTCTTCGTTGACCGTCAAACAACTTATGCTAGATGAAACAACGTCCTATAATGTGAGATGCATGATAGCTGATGTATGTTGAGTAGCTTCTTTAATTTGCTATATGGTTTCTTATGATTTTATACAGATCTCACGGTTATGTTATCTATTCATTTTATCTCCAAGTGATATTTCATTTTATCTCCAAGTGATATTTTATGACCATAATTATGAGGTTTAACAAGCCATGGAAAATTAACTTTCTGTCATTATAACTTGTATTTATGAGTTGAGATTAATTTAAAAAGTAAAATTCGTTGTGCTCGAATCACATATATGATTAATACTATATAACATATCATTAAAATATAATATTTCCAGTTTTCAGTTTACCTTTTATATTTATTTCCGTGAGATTTTCATCTTCTCTCAAAGTTATGTATGGGTATTACCAAATGCGTTTGCTGTTAAAGTAAATATTTTATAAAATTCCTTCTTTTTTTTGGATACAATCAGAATAAAAAGTAAAATTTGAATATATCTAGAAAATATATTGATTAGTAATATATATCGCAATATTAAAATATAATATTTCCAGTTGTTCTATTAAAGAATACCATAGTAGATTATTGTTATATATAATTTTCCGTTAGTTTCCTCTGTGTTCACGATCTTCTAGGTTTTGGAGACAATGAAACGTGGTAGAGGTCAGAAATAAGATCGCAGAGCTTGCATACGTTATATATTTTATATTGTCGTATAACCATAATCCTTTTTTATAAAACATTCTTGTCTATCACTCTGATTTGTTTTCATTATGCCCGTCCAAAGGTGATCATCGACGTATACATCGCCGTGTTTATAATAACAACTTCGACTATTTGCTCGATGTACCCAAGGATGGTGCGAAAAAGGCAAGAAATTATCGTATGGAAAAACTCAGAGCACGAAGGACTGCCTTCCGTAATAGATTATCGGGTTAAGTCTATTATCTTTAAAAAATTTATTAATTTAATTAATAAAAACGCCCACACACGCGTAATTAAGTTGTAGTGACATATTATATTTTCCGTTGTGATTAATATATATTCATAATTTCTAGGCATGGAGTCGATTAATCGAACACGTGTTATCGCGGCATATGAAAACATGATATCTGATGAATTACGTGCGTTATTGAATTCACGACCTCCTAAGGATGTTTGTTGTCGTGCGAGAGCGCGCCGTGTAGCAATACTTAAATCAAGACGGATAAAAGCGAGGACAAGACCACCAGAAACCGGTACGATAGCCTTTTATATTAAGTTTTTATTCTCGAAATTGTACGTGTGATTAACAAATAAAAAAATGTTATATATAAGGGTTGGTGTTGCCGATTTACGAAGATGATTACGTGCATTTCCTCGCAACCGATTCGGATTCTGATCATGGTGATAGGGAGGACCAAACAGACGACGATAATGCAATGGATTATGATTTTGTTGAACATCTCGATAACGCCGATGAGTGTATTATGGAACAGGAAGGGTTTGGATCCATACCGATCATAAATGTGAAACCTGGATTAACAGAAAATGGTACTTACTATGGTTGTTTTTTTTATAATCTTTTAAAAAATATAATTGATATTATTGTGTACATGAGTGCTTCTTGTGTCAGGTTATTTTGATGATGGAGATCCGTTTTACACCTGTCAAAATTGCGGTGCTTATATGTGGTTTGGCGAGCGTATTAACAAACGTGGAGCTAAAAATAGGCCTATATTTTCTATGTGTTGCATGAAGGGTAAAGTGGAGCTGCCTAAACTAAAAAATCCTCCACCGGTGCTTATGTCGATGTTGTATGGCAAGGATGAGACAAGCAAAAATTTCCGTGCTTTAATTAGAGCATACAATATGATGTTCTCATTCACGTCGCTTGGTGGTCAAATTGATAATTCCGTGAACCATGGGAATGCACCGTATGTGTTTCGCATGCAGGGTCAAAATTATCATCGCATCGGTGAACTTTTGCCTGGCCCTTCCAAAAGTCCTGCTTTCTCGCAGCTCTATATTCATGATACCGTAAACGAAGTCTCGAATAGGATGGGTGTTATGGGGTGAGTTGTTTATTGTAATATATTTTTTATATTATGTCCACGAATTAATTTCCCTTTTTTGTTGTTTTTAATTGTTTTAGCGAGAAAGGACCGGGTAAGCAAATAAAGAAGAGTATCGTTAAGACTTTGAAGGATATGTTAGATGCTAACAACCCACACGTCATCGCGTTTAGATCAGG